GAGGGGGTGCTATAGATATGTCCAATACTGTATGTATATATGTATGACCGATAATCCGCTTAAGTGCCTTAAAATTGTTTGCGTCACTGGCTTGAAAAAAGTTGTGTTAAGAAAACGTTGTACATACTGTGTATGAACGTACTTTGTAAAGCCACGATGCATCGCGATGTTTTTGTCTATATTTTTTTGTTTGGGAAATAAAATTTAATTAGCACTGGATCGATTTCTTCATACATAATTAGTTAGCTGCAATTACATAGCGTCTTTGAATAGATGTATGTACAGTCTGTCCACACTGAATGAGGCCTTTTGATAGCAGCATAAAAAAATCCACCTCGCATAACATTACCATTTCGCCATAAATAGGTGTTTCCAATCTTCCGATATTCGGACTTTTACATAAATAGATCTGTAAGTCTTCAGAAAATTCTCCAAGGTTCCTAGGAGAGTGAGAAATGTTTGTATCGTTTGATAATTTCATAAATTTGAATACTTGTGATAACACGAAACGCCTGGAAATTCGAAAGTTTTTGTGAAGTCGTAATTTTTTTTGAAATATATTAGTTTTATCGTTTGCTAGGTTAGCTTCAGTTATTAATGTAAAAAATGTGGATTAAAGTTTTGCGTCATTTATGGAAGATTTAAAATTTTTACTTTTTCAATTTCGAAATTTGGATATTTTTTAAGGCCTTTGGAATTAGTGTTTTATTTTAATATCTAATCTGTGATGTTTTTTTTCATTAACTAGAGAATTTTTAGTATGAATATTTAAAAAAAAAAATTTGCATTACTACCTAAGCACAAGCAATTTGAAAATTATGTATCTAAAAATCTGATAAATTTTTATAATTCGAGATAGCTCCGATTGCACTTTTTTAAGCCTTGAAGTTATTTGAAATCCTTAAGTCTGCAAAATTGGAAAGCTTACAATTGAAGAAAAATGGAATAAGTGAAAAATTCGAAAAGTATTTTATTTGGAAACTTTTCTCATTTCTAATTGAAACGGTTAATTACCAAAGGGAATAAGTCAGCATCTTTTCGGCAATTTCTATGTAATTCGGTTCTGTTGAATTGCATCAAATTCGCCATGACGGAAAAATGCTGACTTATTCCCTTCGGTAATTAACCGTTTCAATGGTTTAATTAAATATTTAAACTTAATGCACTGGGTGGAGGCTTGATATTAAAAACAAAATGTTTAAAATTGAAACGTTCTGAAAATTAATACATTAAAAAAATCGGAAAAAATAATTGTTAAACGCTGCGGTTCCCCGATTACTGATTGGGCATATCTTTTGATTCATTGATTTTTTCCGTTAAATTAAAAAAAAAAAATTGAAGTATTACCTATCGAAAGCGAATAAATACATACATATTCTTAAATTTATATAAAAATTTTCCTTATTTTTCCTAATTGTGTGTTATGTTTGTATTCTTTTAAAAATAATAGCGATTTTTTTTTTTAGTTATTTTGGCATTATTGAATTTTTTCTATTTTTCGTATTCCTCACTCAATTTAAGCAATTCAAAGGTATAAATTTTTGGTATTTTGGGAAAATTTTATTTTCGAATTTTTTTTCATATAAATTTAACCACTGTTTATATGTTTTTCTTACTTTGTTTCATCACCTCAGGTAAGGAAAAGGAATTTTTTTTAGCTCCAAACAGTCTTTGAATATGTACTAAAAATGTTCGTAAATTTCCAATGCTTAGCTTGAGTAACGTTTTTTCTGTCTAAATATGTTTATGGGCTTAATGTTATCATAAATGTTAGGCTATCCATATGTACATATAGATTATTACCAAAATGGCGAGAAGATCATGGTCGACAAACAATCACCAACACACTGAGGAAGTTCGGAAGCACAGCGCCTATGATATATATACAGCCTCATAGCGTAAATTGCACATTAGAAAAAAATTTCACGACTCGGCTAAAATGACATTGGCTTCTGTCGTAGTGAAATAAGTAGACGACGCACGGTGCGTAACTTCGTCGATTTAGGGGAAGGAAGATCATTGCGCCCACAATTTTGACTCTTGAAATTATTATTTCAAAGGGTTGTACGTGATTCCATAAGTACAATATTTTATATGGGCATTTCCATTTATTTATAGTCAAAAATTAAAAGTGATATATGGTTAAATTTGGATTTTTTTTTGTCAATGTGTATTGGCTGCATATGCAGAAGTATTTTTGCAAAAAATTTACCCGTATTTGTGGACTGATTTCGTTAAAATTTACGACGAGTATTAGATACATAGTAAGAAATATATGTACAAAAAATAGTCCCGCTAGATGGCGATTTAGTCGCAATATTGACTGTTTTAAAACGGCTATACAAAAATTAAAACAAAAAAAAAAAATACATTTAAATTGTTATTTGTGTTTCTCCTCTTTACCCCACGTCTACATCAGCAATGAGCACTCGCTTACGAACTGTCGGATTCCTTGCATACAAGATTTTATCGCAGAGAAATTTTTGAACGCGGAATATGTTGAATGTTTTGTAAATGTTGCGAAAATTTTATATTTTTTTCTTAGTTGTGCTTTAATAGCACTTCCCCGAATTACACCACTACTTTCTTACTCGGAACTAAAAAAAAAAAATTAAAAAATATGTAGTTGTTAAACTTAAACCCAGATATTTGACAACAAGGATGCGATTGCAGAAAGTTTGGCATCGTTGTTTTACTCGCCTAATTGCGACATCAGTAATCTGCGGTTTTTGATCCTCACACCAAGCGCGTATTTGATGATACCTACATCCTTCGCTCACACCACGAATCCGACATGAGAAAAATCCCAATGACTAAATTTTTGTCCCCAAAAATATACAAAAAAGGTTGACTTTAAATTGACTTTTTTAAATAGTGCAATTTTGTGCAAATTTCTACTATTGGCCCTTTATATACAGATGATCGATTAAAGGTTCCTGAGGAAATCCTATTTATACACGCTGACACGCAATTTATATGCTTATATGAAAAAATCCCATTTTTTTCAAATCTAAAGTAGCGCAATTGACGTGTAAGGACGACGTTTAAAATTGCAAAATGATGTTTTTACTAAAGTTTACAATGTGTAAAACGAAAAGTATGTCAAAGACTGTAATCTCGTTAGGAAATGAGACGAGCACGGCCACTGATTTATAAAGGCCGGAAAATTGGCGATTACCGTTCGTCGAAACGGGCATGTTCGTACAAGCTCAGTATTCTTCCAGCTTATCTTCAAACGATTGGGCACCAATTTTCTATTATATCAGACATATATCGTATCTGAACTTTTTTTTTAACCAACTCCGATTTTCTATTTTCCTTCCCCTAAATCGCCCAAATTTCGCACTGGTACGACGTAAATGTCGACAACTATCCAGTGCTGCCCAGTTTTTCCGTTTTAATACAATAGTCGAGTCGAAACTTTAGGCAATGCCATGAAATGCGACATGATTCTCGAGAAACGACTTGCACTCGACACGACAATCGCAATGAGGCTGATGGTAACACCAGTTCGTAATCATCTTGCTCTTTCAACCGAACACATAGCCGCTGTTAGTGAAAGAGTTGACGATGATTTTGAATCTATCGATTTCGAGCGAATTTCCATCTTTACCCATATAAGGTCTAACTCACGCAAGAACTCAATTTGCAGTAAGCACAATTTCGAGATTCCGGACAATCAACAGCTTTCTGGATTTGTTTCTGTCGAGTTATGCAAAAGATATTTTTAAGCGACCAATCCCATATGTAACTTTGAAGCAATTGAAGGAGAATATGTATATGTATGCACATATGTATTTATCTAAAGCAATTTTTGCAAGGCAATTTCGAAATAAAAAACCAAATAAATTCAGCAAGTGTTTTTTTTTGTAAATAATTCTACTGGAATGGCCAAAAAACTGCGCATACAATTCAGCTAATTTGTGATTGTGAATTCAAAAAAATGTATAAAAACAAAGTTATAATTACTTTGCCTATTTAGCCTTTTAGATCTGCATTAGAACAACTTGCAAGAGCTTAAAATGTGCGGAAAAAGCGGGGAAAAAAATCTTTTTTAGAAATTTTGACATTTCTGCTTGCACTCGCCCAATTATTCTCAGTTTTATTTTTAGCGGCATACCAACTTGTGTGTATGTATGTACTTACATATGTCTATGTATGTAAATGTAATGTATGTATGCGTTTACACATATAAAAATTATCATTCTTTTGTATTATCACCAAGTCGTTTTTTTTGTTTTCCTCAAACTTTTTTCACCTATATTCTTTAACGTTTACGCTTTACTTACAGCTGCTCGCTTGCGCGTGCATGTGCATTTGTACATATGTATATGCATATCTATGTATATGTATTTTTTGTTGATTTTCTACTCAAATTTATTTATTTTTATCAAAATTCAAAGCATTTCTATCCTACTAGACCCTGCACAGCTAAGCGTTCGTCCACAGTTTAGGGAGTTCGCTGTTCAACTCTAGCCTTCAAATTCTCTTCTTACAACTCTGCAACAAATTTTGCGCTTCAAAATTTACAAATACAAATACATCCACAACTACAACACGTCGCAGTAAATACAATAAAAATTATTATTTTTTAGTTTGTTTTGTAGTTTTTTTGTCGTTTCTTTATTTTACAGTTTACATGTACAGTAGAGATTATTATTTAATTATGTATGTTTGCGTATGATTATCACTTAAAATTAGTGTTTTTTCTCAATTATTTATTTTTATTTAATTTAATTAATATGTAGAATCCTTAACTAACACATACTACTTTGTTTTTTGTTTTTTACAATGCATGATTTTCATGGTTGCTTTCATTTACTCCGCGCATATTTTTGTAGTAAAAATTCATTCTTCATTTTGAAATGTTTTTTGTGTAAAAGTGTGTGTAGGGGGGTATGATTTTTCATTCACCTTTTCACTTATATTGTGTGTACGCATGGATGTATGTACCTTTGTATGCACATTTGTAAGTTTGTAGTTGTGTGTGTTTGTCATGCTTTTGAGCTCACGCATACTCCTGCCACGCCAATGGGGCAAATGTTTTCGTGTGGTGTGGGTGGGGGTGTGGGTGTGCGTGTGCGTACATATAGATATGTATATGCATGTATGTAGGTTTTGTAGCATGCTTCTAGGCGCTTAAGCTGTATAATTGGTTAGCTACATCCAGTTTGGGAAGTGAATATTCACGCTTTGAGTTGAAAAATGAGGAAAATTCGCGAGTAAGCTCGTCAGCTCTGTTGTTAAATGTGGGCTTTGCCAGCGATAAAACTTGGCTTCGCGGAATATTAACGGCTTTTAAAGAGATCTAAATATGTATTGGAGCAAAAAGTATGCGAAAATATGCTACAAAGGACATTGAAGGCGCCCAAAAAATTTAGCAAAATAAAAACAAAAAAAAAAGCATGAAAAAGTTTCGGCAGCTGCTTTCGAATATCATTAAAAGTTAATCAGCTTTTTAGTACTTTTTTCAAACTTCAGCTAGACCTGCTCAGTCCAACGCTCACCCCATCTGGTTGTTTCAGGAAGTGTTGCAGTTGAGTCGCTTACACCCATACATACATATGTACATACATACATACATATGTACATAATACATATGCAGCACACGCTAGTTTATCAATGTAGAAAAAGTACTAAACAGTACACAAAACATACCAGTACATTTATAACAAACGGTTTTTTGTTTTCATTCGTTCGGCCGCTTCAAACTGGCTGCATAAGCAACATTTATTTTCAATACATTTTTCTTCTTTTCTAAAAGGGCATAGTACTTTTTGCGTGCCTACATATTTATTGGCTTAATGAAATTCTTATCTTATCAACTCCACACTCCTTTTCTTTCTTTAAGCAAACATATACATACATACAAGTATTGTGAAGTAGTGATATTCTTATGATTATAAATATTTATTTAAAATCTCTTAAATATATTAACAAAGAGTGTGTGTGTGTGTGTGTGTGTGTTGTTTTTGTGGTGCTTCAATATTAATTGAGCGCAACGCAAGAATATTTACTGTTTTTTTTTACTTTAAAATTTTTTTTCATAATCGTATTTATATTTTGTATTGTATAAGCATAGCATCGCATAGCATAGCATATATTCATATACTTAGTAGTTGTATGCGGTAGTATGTATGTATATGCATATGCAGCTGTATGTATGTAATAAAGACTAAATTCTATGGAAAATTAATAAAAACGAACGTAACGTAACGTAACGTAGTACACACATCTTTTATATTCGTATCTCTGCAGATAAGTTTTATAAATATGTACTCGTAAAAATATGTAGGTATGTATGCATTGTAGTTTGAGTGTCTAAATAACACTGCTGCGCGCAGGCAAGTTCATCTTAATCGTAGGTAAATTACATACAAAATAATTAGAAAAATATTACATACATACAAAAAATTAACATGACAACAATCGCAATATCGTTTTTTTTTCTAAAAAAAATTACTTGTTTTTTTGTTTTTGCTATTTTTCAATATTATTACTATTTTTTCTGCAACATAAACAGTTTAGCTATAAAGTGCATTTTTACACATTTTCGATACCAAAAAAAAAAAAGTGTGAAACAAATAATTATGTAAAGAAATCCGGTTTTCATCTCTCAACAAATCATAAATCAATAAAATAGCGTCAACTTTAAACGTACATATTTATTTAAATTAATGGAAATCAAAGTAACATCACTATAATCAGCTCAGCATTAAAATATTCGTTACATTAGACATAGTATTTTAAGTTTTTTTTTTTTTTTATCATAATTATATGTATGTAATTATTTATGTATGTAGTATATAATTATGTATGTAAATGGTATAAGTATGTGTATAAAAAAAGTAAAGTAAACAGTTAACAGTACGTATAGGGTGTAGCTTAGCCACAAACCAGAGTGCAGAAGTAGTGACACAAACCACCGCGAACAGCTTAATTAAAATGCAACTTATTTTTGGGAGAGCTAGAGGGGATGTGTGTTTAAAAGGCGAGCGAGCAGAGCAGCAGCAATAGCAGCATTCCTTGAGCCAGTGACGAAGAGAGCGAGCTTTTACTCTGAAAGCTTAAACAAGTTTTCAAGTAACGCTCAAAAGTACTTCTGGTAATATAAGTGGAAATACTATGGTTATTTAAAGCTTTGTAAGACAAGCGACAGCGAGATCTTTAACTTTCCTGGCGGAGGGGCGCGAGTGAGATTTTCTTGGGGAGCTCTTTGAACCGAATTCTGAAATAGGCTGTTCTTCAACCAAATTCTGAAATAGGGCGTTTTTGAAAAGTTTTTTTTTGTGATAGGGTGTTTTCGAACTGGCTGCCGAGATATGTAGGTCGATCTTTCACTCAGCAGTCGATTTTTACACACAAGCTTTAATTAGCTTGAATTTTTTCAATAAAAAGCTTCACTTTGACTAAAGTTTAAGCAATCGAATATTCAACGAATTTTAATTTTTGCAGTATGGAGCTTATGACGCTTGTGAAGCCTAATGAACCGCTTTATTTTCAATCTTACTTAAGCTAAAGTACTCACTATTTTTAAATTTAGCGCTTTTAAAAGCTTGAGTTTCAGTCACGGAAATCTTTTTTTTTAACTCTATAGCTTATTTATCGAAAAGCTAAACTTTTGTGTGAAGCCTATCGAAGTTCTAAGCTTATTCTTTCAACGTAGAGCTTTTGAACGCTTGAAGTTTCTACTCTTATAAAGATTATTTTTGCCCATAATTAGATTTTAGTAAGGCTTCAAGATTCAAACGCACAACAAATATATGTTTTTGGCATAATTTAAAAAGTTCTAATGCAAACATTGTCAAAAGCTCAAAAATTATTCGAAATGTGACTGTCGACTGATCGGATTTTCGCTTGCCCGATTACTCAAAAGTAAAATATTTTGCACGATTAAAGTTTGGAGAGCTTAATTTAACAATTTTTTTTTTGGTAAAGCTCGCCTTAATTGAGGTATGCATGAATCCGACATTTTGAAAAAATGCAATTTACAAAAGCTTATTGAAATCTGTGTTTTTTCATAAGTTATGCATTTTATAGACCGGTTATTTTCGAAAGCTTGTACTTCGAAGTTCGAAAAATTACAAATTACACGGTATTTGAAAGGTAAAGTTACAGAGTGTTAATTTTTTCTCAAGCTCAAAGTTATACATACATATCGTTACCTTAATTCACAAAGGTCCCCACCAGCAAATTTTATATTTTACAGAAGTAAAAAAAAAAAACATTATACAAAGTAAATCAAAAACTGAAGATAGGCCTTTTGAAAAAGCAGCTTAACTCCCGTGTTTTTGATACTAGCACTTTAAAATTTTTAAAGAAGGTGCGTTTTAATATACCCTACCAAAGTCTGTGAAAAACGCAGTTTCGAAAAAAGTGTTGGTTAGGGCCTTTGTGAAATAAGGAAATTTGAAAGCATTTAACCTGTTTTTTTTTGAATTTTTACGGGTTTTACTAATTTAACTATATTTAGTTTGAGATTAAACTTAGTTTTGAGCAAAGCTAAGAGGTTTCAAAATCAAAATAAAAACCGTTTGTAATTTCAAAAGCTTCTGGAATTGATGGGTTAATAGAATTTTAATCCGACTCAAATTATATTAATAACGACCGTGCCTATAACGAGAATTGTGCTCTTGCAAATCACTCTTCCCATTCCTAGCATCGCCTAGCAAAACCCCCTGGAGGGAAATTATTGCTTTGCCCATCAACTGCTGTAGGCAGCAGCTAAGCTCTCAAGGGGATAAAAATGCACCAGCTGTTGTCGTTGCTGCTGCTGCTGCTGCGGGGTGGCAAAGTAAACAGCAAGTTGCTGCTGTTGCTGTTGTTGATATTGTTGTAATTGCCAATGCTGTTGCTCTGCCATTGCAGGCAACGGCAACGGCATTGGCCATTGCATGGTGTATTGTTGGTGTGGTTGGGTGGGTGCTGCTGCAACGGTTGCTGCTGGTCCGACCAAAGGCATTTGTTGCATGTAAAATGTTGACGGTGGCTGTTGACCTGCATGTTGTTGTTGTTGTTGTTGTTCTCGTTGAGTTGCTTGCTGCTGTAGTGCTAGCTGCAATTGCGTACGCTGCAAATATGCTTGTTGTTGTTGCTGCTGCTGCTGTTGCTCGAACTGCAATGCACAATTTGCCTCGTAGCAGGAAAATGCCGCCAAATTGCTTGCTGCTGGGGAGGCAACCATTGTTGTTGTTGGCGCTATTGCTGTGGGTGGTGGTAAGCATGTTGCCGCAGGAGCAGCAACATAGCTATGGCCGTTGTTGTTGCTGCCGCTGTTGTCACTGTTAAATGCATAAGTCGGCGACACAACTGTACAATCGCTACTAGTACTGCTGCAGCTGCTGGCGCTGTCACATCTATAATTGTTGTTGTACGTGTCGCTGCTGTCGCTGTCATAGATTAGCGCGCCTGCCGATGACAAAAGTGTTGATTGCAGTTCCAGGTAGTCAGTTGCTGCTTGCTCTTCTTGCAGCTGATAGTCGAGCGCTGTTGTGGCTGCTTCTTCTGGTACTATGGGTACTGTTGCTGTTGTATTTGCTGCTGCTGCTATTGTTGTTGTTGTTGTTGTTGTTGTTGATGTGGTTGTTGTCGTGTTTGTAGCTGCTGTCGCCGCTGCTGGCTCACTCGCCAATCACGTGCTCAACCACGTCTGGTTGCATGTGCAAATAGTCGGAATCACAGGTGCGTAATAGACGCCATTGTAGACCAGTATGGTGGCCGTCGGCTGTGCCACCGCAGCGTGTGTCTGTATCGCCTGCACCTGCTGCGCTTGTTGCACTTGCAGTTGCTGTTGTTGCTGCTGCTGCTCGGCGCCGGCTGGTGTACAGCACAGTGTCGCTGTTGTGGCCTGTGGCGCCGCAGCGGTCGCCTGTTGCACGTAGATGGTCTGTGTTTGCGGCGCTTGCATTTGCTGTTGTTGTTGGTGTTGTGTTGTGACCAGCGTTACTTGTTGGTGTGGCTGCTGCAGTTGCTGCTGCTGCTGCTGCTGTTGTTGTTGTTGTTGTGTTTGTGCTTTCTGCACATCGACTGGCTGCTGTTGTTGGTGGAGGTGCTGCTGCTGTTGCTGATGGTACTGTTCCTGCGCCTGCTGCTGCTTCTGTTGCTCCTTGTAGAGCACCTGCGCGGCCAGCGACTGTATCAGCATTAGGGTCTGCCGCCGCTCGTGGCCCATCAGGCACACCGTAGACATTTCGACGACCTCACGTAAATGCATCAGGTACTGGTATTGAAGTGGCTCCTCATCGACGCCCCAGAAGTGATTGGACAAGTACGCCTCCAGCTTCTTAGTTTGCGTATTAATGTCAGGGAAATCGATGAAGAACCGTGAGCACATGTAACGTTCCAGAGTCTTGATGTGTTGCGGATCGACTGGCTTATAGTTGCGCACCAATAAGTTACAGTACTTGAGCAAACCGCCGCCGCGTATCTCCTCTGGCTGTCGTGTTGAGATCAATTTCTTTTGCAAGTGATAGAGCGCCTCCTGGAAGTCACCGTACACCGACTCACCGACCACAGTCGGATAGAAGTTCTCCGATATGGGTAGAGCGGCACAGTCGTAGAAAAGTAGCAGCGAGTCCAAGACAATTTGAAACGAATCCACTGAGAACTCGAACTGGCGTCGCATCGTGTCGACAAATTTCAGTTCGACATTCTTATGACCGGGCGAATTGCCCAGCGATATAAGTGACCAACGGTCACCATCATTGTTATTGTTGACCTTAACCATTTTGCCGACGTAGGCCTCCTTGAGAGCGCATGGCATAATGCGACGCTTGCACACACCCTCGGGCAAGAGGTCCAACAAAGTGCTCAGCACAGCGGACTTGACACGATCGAAGTGCCGCGACGAAGTCAATTCAATGGCATAGATCAAGTCCAAGTCATTGTATGGCTGATCCTCGGAAGCTAAAACATGACTAGCTGCGCCGCCATTCAAGCGCACATCCTTGACTATCACACCAGCGCCGCCCGCACTCACATCCGCTTCCAGCTTGCGTCTGACCATATTGACCAAGTCTTTTAGGGGCACTTCGAGTGTGGGAAAATTACCACGTCCATGTATGGCAACTTTTTCATCCATGACATCGTGCAATTTGCGCACCTGTTCGAATGAAAGCACAGCCAAACGTTGAGTACCGCCAGTATCGACACTCTCCAATGAACCGTGATCGGAGGCCGATGCTATGGATGAGCCCGAACTGGGTGATGGTGGTGGTGTTTCGGTGCCACCGTCGGAGTGGAAACCGTCATCAATTTGATATACATCCATTCTGTTGGAACGCTGTTGGTAATGATATGACGATTCGGAGTGTGCGTCTAGGGTCCCGCACTGCAAGTAGAGAATAAAAGAGAGAAAGAGAAAACTTATGGTTAGTGGAGTGTTGTTTAAAGGTTGGAAAGTCATTAAAAATGCAAAGCAGTAGTAAAAATGCCAACAATAAATAGTAAACTGAAATATTTGTATATATCGTCACCTGTAATTCAAAAAAGACGTAACAAATTTTTTTTTTTTATAAAATGATGTGGGAGTTTTAATTCGATGAAATCAATCATACATATATGTAAATCAAAAAGTGAATTTTGAATTTTTTATTAGTTATGACTTTTCGTATTTCAACGATGATGTTTGTTACGCCATTACAATGTTTTTCAAGCTAAAATTTTTTTGATATTTTTTGCACTTTTTTCCATATAAACATGAATTTCTTGTGAAAGAAAATACGCGGTCTAGCAAAAATAAAATAAAATAAAAAAGTCAACGCCAGTTTTCCTAAATTTTGTTATTTATAGGAAAAAAGGCGCAAAAGCCATCAGTGAAAAAAAAAATATTAAAAATCAATACGATTTTTTAGCTGCTCAGAACTTACATTTGTTTTACTAAAATTGTATAAGCCTGTTAACTGCGTACCCAAAAGAATTATAAAAATTTTGGTTAAAAAGCTCGAAATTTAGATAAAAATTTTTGGAGTTTTTTTAAATGCTGTATAAAGTTTGAAAGTGTGATTTATATGGTTTTTGTTAAAGCATGAAGCATATTTTTAGAAAAAATTATCTAAAAAATTTTAGCTTGAAAAACATTGTAAATATTAAAAATGAAACACCATTCATTCACTTTTGCCCGCCACTGTATGTCATGAACGATTGCTATATACTTTTTTTACTTTCATTGTCGATAGAATTATTTTCTGAATTATTCTCGATATTGTTACGGGCAGCGATCTCATCAATTCATCTAATCAAATCCAAATCAAAATCGCTATTCTTATCGCTATTGAAATTGTTTAGTTATCCCCATCCATATCATTTCGTGATCGTCGTATTTATTGCTTTAACATTGAAATTGGTACAGTTATCGAATTTGTATCGCCCCCGACATTATTTCGTATTCATCGTATTCCTTAAAAAGCAAAAAAAAATTTATACTTAAGTACATATTGATACTGACATAGAAATCGCTATGAATTTTATCGTTATTAAACTTGTAAGGTTAATGCTCAATAGGTAATAGATTTTTCGCCTCCAAATTTAATCTCTATACATTTGTGAGATTAACAAATATTTTCGTGTAAATATATACATATGTATGTATCTCACATAGTTTAGTGTTTCATAAGAAATTATATTAAACGAGCGCAAACAACTTTATTACACTTGTATTAAATAATTTTCATGTGACCTCATTAACATATTTCGGCATTGAGCTGGCATAATCGCCAAACGTACAAACTTACGTATGTATGCACAAATATACATATGTATATTTAGCAGCTTTATTTACTAATAATAAGTAATTATTTTGTACAATTTCAATATCATATGAAAACTTTTGAAAAGGCAAAGCAGGCAGAAGCTACTTATACTAAAATTAAGAAAACACTAAATTATTTTCTTAAGAGTGTAAAAAAAGTTATTAACAAAATAATTGCTTTTGAGGTTAAAAGCAATCTTTACAAAAGCAAAAATGCAAATAATTTCTTAACATATTTTGTTTTTGCAAACTGCGGTGATTTAGATAGGAAAGCGATTTTGACTTGAATTATTTGATATTATTTTAGAAATAATTATTCTTATATAGCAATGCAAAATGCTGTTTTCTGACTTAAGTCATCTTTAGCTGTCCTTCTCTCTACCTTTTTTTCTGGAGGAAAACTAACATAAATTAAAAACAAGAAGAAGCGAGCCCTTAATGACTCAAGGCTTGTTAGGCTACGCAATCGTTGCAATTATTTTATAGTATTTTACATTTTTAACCACTTTTTAATAGCACAGCAAAACAACTGGAGGCAGTTAAATAAATTTTCCAACGATTTCTCCCTACAAAGTCAACACTTCTATAGTACAATATAGCACGTCATTACAGATAAGTGATCCAAACTTACATAATTTCTATATACTATATTCACACATACGCTTACTATTTATACTTACATAGATACATATGTATTTATTGCCTACTTATTTATTTCGGAAGGCGCAAAGGTCAATGACAATCAGGAATGAAAGAACGACTGGAAAAATATACACATATGTACATATGTATACAAATGAAATGAGATAATAATAACACAGCGTCAAGTGAAATTGGCTTAGCAACGGCGAAGAAGATCGCTTGCTCATGAGCACTTATATTTAATGACGCCCGCACAAAATGTTTTGCGAGTCTCTTAAAATAAAAAATTAACTGAATGTATGTATATGAACTCATCTGTATTTAAATGGCATACGCAAGTACATATATTTGACAAAAATTGCATGTACATATGTATGTATGTATGTATATACTCATACGGGATGACTAAGTAAGATAGAGGGTGCATTCCAAAATGTCCAAATACAAAGTATCAGTCTGTTTTTGTTCTAAACCTCAATAGATTTTTAATGCCAAATGTGCGCCAACATGGTGCTACAGATGCTAGTTTCCTACGGCTACGTTGTGCAAGTTAGACTGTGCGGTTTAGAAATAAAGGATACTGATGCTTTGTATTTTGACGTTTTGGAATGCACCCAGACATTCCATTTTTTCACTCGCACTAAGCACGTGATTATCGCGTTTACTTTTCTTCGACTTTATATGGAATGCTGTGATTTATTGCAAAGATTTCTGTCTTCTTCTGTGATTAAAATTAAAAGAAATACGACAATGCTTACAAACATTTGAATGTGCGCTAGACCGGGTCGGCGACTATACAAAAGAAAAAAGGTCATAGCCACGCAGGCTAATTTCAACAAATACTTCGAGCGGATTTTGTGGATTCAAAAAAATTTTTACTCGTAGTATTTTACAGCTCTTTGAGATCAGGAAAAATCTATCCTAACAAAAATTGTAATTTGTAAAAATGAATATAAATGAGTTTACTGACCTAAGTAGTTAATTTAGGTCAATGCAGTCTTAAACGCATATACATTAGGGCGGTCAATTTGTATGGCAGTTTTTTTTCGGCGTATAGCCCAGAAACATCATACGTGCAAGTTCTAAGCAATTTTTCCGAAATCAATTTGGAGTTTGCCAAATTTGCGAAAATAGGTTTCCAAGCATTTTGCCGTAGTGTCGTAAAGAAGTGCTTAAATTTTGTATGAAAATATGCTTTCTTTTTTTTTTTAATTTTCCAAGACAGGGCACAACTCCACATTGATTTTATACCCATGGTTTCTTCGGCAAACTTGCTTAGAATTACACGTAGAATCCTCCTATGCTATACGCGCGTGGTAAACAAAAAATTGACCCGCCCTAATATACATACAGTGGTGGAAAAATAAATAGGGACACGATCTTCTTCTTTCAATTATTTAATATTTTTATAAAATTATAGCTCATTATCAAACAAAAACCATATAAATTCAAATTTCAAACTTCGTTCAAAAATTATAAAAACTCTGAAAATTGCATCTAAATTTTTAACTTTTAATCAGATTTTTTAGATTTTTTTCAGTATGTAGTTTTATAGCCAATTAAAATTTAGTAAAATGAAGTGTAAGTTTTAAGTTGCTAAAAAATCGGCTTGATTTTTGGCAATTTTTTTTAAGGCATTTTCTTCCATACAAAGTACGTTCGACAATTTTTATTTTTGTATAGAAGAAATCTGATTAAAAAGTTGAAAATTTAGATGCAATTTCGCAGAATTTTTATAATTTTTGCACATGGATTGAAATATTTATTTATATGGTTTTTGTTATAAATATTAACAAAACAAAAGCAAAATAGGAAACATTTGTTAAATGTTGTGTCCCTATTTATTTTTCCACCACTCTATCTATGTAAATTTGTATGAATGTATATACATTAGACCATTCCGCTTTACAAGCAAACAAAAAACGTCTGCCGTACACATCTGAGTCTAAGGTAGTACTTTGCAAGGCAAATATGCAAAAAAAAAACAAAACAATTCTTTTCCCCAACCTAGTGGTCGCCTGCTTACAATTTTCGGTGACACCTACATTCGGCAATAAAACAAAATGTCAATAGTTTTCCTGGAATAATCAAAACACCTCCTCAGCAATAGTTTAATAATTTTTGGAGGGCTTTAATTTACTGGCATTAGGGTGGCACGTTAGGGTAGTAATAACTGAGAACTTTTGTGTAATTAATAGAACGGGGTACTACTAGAACGGGTCAATGAACTTTGGAACAGAAAAAATTGTCCTCTCGACCCAAGAACATCGAAGAATATCAATCTTTAAGATGCGATGGCAAATGCCGAGGATAAGACGAAAAATATAAAAAATGAATGCACCTACGTTCGGGATTGTTTTTTTCTTTTCGAAATCACCCTACCAAAATACTTTAATTCGAAGAAGTACGGCGAACTTTTCTTTTCTGGGTCTAATGTAGATACATAGTATGCAGGTGTGTACAAGTATTAGTACCCCGAAAAAAAAACGTTTATAGACAGTACAATGTCCATACGTGCATACGTGTGTACATATGTATAAAATTCCGGAACTTTGATTCATGTGTGTCGTGACAATTATAGGCTTTCAGAATATCCGGTTTCTCATTTATATTAATTATTACATATTGCTATTAAATAGCTACTTGTGTAAGCGATCGTTTATCCATAAATTTACTCATGAGCAAGTGAAGAATTTAAGCAGGCAGTGTTTTCAGGGTAGCAACTCTTTCAGTTATATTTAGTTATGAATAACAGCTCGTCATATTTATTTAATTCTCGGCATGAATATTAAAAAAAAAATATATATAGCAAACAAGCTAAGTTCTAATTAACCAGAATGATGCCGGGTTTCCACTTGGCTTTTAATGACAAAAAATGCATGCCATTAAAATAAAATGTTGATTCGAGTTTAGTAATTATTACAATTAAAATTTTGCCA